TGTTAACATGATATGTTGAGCCATTCTAGTAGGAGGATGGAATTGGTTGCTTGCTTTTCTCTCCTGTGTGGCTTTTGTTATGAGCCACAAGATAAAGCATGTCATATACATTTAGAGATACTCTATTTGCACTTAGTACACCCAAACACAAATCCCAAAAGTAGCAAGTTGCTGAGATTTCAGATTCTGATACACCTAGTACAGGGGTCCCCAACCCCCGATCCGTGGACCAGTCCCAGGCTACAGCATGCCAGCAACTGGTCTGCACAAACAAACAAAGCCCCATCTGCGAGATGCAGGCAGCACACAAAACCACGCACCCTCTGGTATGCAGAAAAATCTCCCTCCATGGAACCGGTCCCTGGTGCCCAAAGATTGGGGACTTCAGAACTAGTAGATTAACTTTGCATGTTATGCTGGTTCAGTTTGTCTTAGATTCAGTGTTTAGTTGAATATTGTCATTATTTTCTTGAATGGTCCTCCCAGGCGCACGTTTACCTGCCACTTATTTAATATATTTTTTTTATTTGACAAGTGCTTGTATCTGAATACAGTAAAAAAAACTTGTGATCTTGTTAGCATATTTTAATATTTTTGTCTTATATGCATGGATGGGATGGATGAGCCACAGGGATTGAAAACACCTTCAGAAGAAGCTGTTGCTGTCATATTGAGATCAACAATGAAAGGTGAAGCCAGAAACATCATGCATCAAGGTGGATTTTCTCCCCAAAAAATCTCATTGCATGTCCAAAAGGAAACTTGTAACTTACCTCTCTCCCTCTCTCTCTCTCTCATTCTCTCCGTCCGTCCATCCCTCTCCCTCATCATTTTGTCTGAAGAAGCCATTGACTCCCAGTTACATGTAGGCTATTTTCACACCACACTTAACCAAGACAGTTACAAGCCTAGCAGCTACCATATTTGCGAGTATATTGTTTGGTTGTGGTTGTTGCTGCTGCTGCTGTTATAATTATTTTGGCCAGGGGATTACCACTCACTGAATTGTGTAAATCCACAAAATAGTTTATTCAACTCCCAGCTCTACCACTTTCTATTCACACTTTGACAGTCTTGTGCAAATGGGACCCTTTCAATTCTTCAAAAGTTTTTAACATATCATAACTGTATCATGATGCAAAAGTCTCTTGGAAAAGGTAAGCATTTATGATGATGATGCAATCCATTCAGTTGTGTCCAGCTCTTGGTCGACCAAGTCTCTCCATATCTTCCAATCTTGCATTGCTTCTTTGAAATGCAAAGAAGGATCCATACATTTATAATATTTGAGCTGAATTAGCCTATTATAAATGGACTCCTTTTCTCATTCTTAAATTTCCCCCCTTTAATTTAACTTTTATTATTTATTTTTAAAAAATCATTTTAAGCTCTACTATTTGCATTGCCTATAGCTCCCTCCCCTAAAATATTACATTTAAATTAGTTTCAAATTCTGGTGATTCTGGTCAAGTTGGGTCTCTAAAATTCCTGTTTGACCATAGCATTGTCCTTTTTACCTTCCTTCTTTTACCTATATTGCTGGAGTAGGCAATATTTTGGGGAAAGGACCTATTAGTAATTTTGGTAGCATGCTGTAGAAATAGCCTCAAGCTGGCTGCACCCATTGATCAAAGGAGTAGAATTAGCCGAGATGTTTTTATATTAACCCAGTGGGCCCTATGGCATTCCTTTAGCTGAGTGGGATGTTAAAGAATGGAGCTTCATTATTCTAGTTGCATATTTATTATTATTTTTGTTGGAAGGAAATTAGGAAAAGGAGCTCAGAATTCTCTGTTAGATGGCATAATACTCTCTGAAAATCAGACAGAATAGGACTAAATTTGGTATAAGAGGAGAAACAGTGGTGGGATTCAGCTGGTTCGCTCTATTTTGGCAGAACCGGTAGCTAATTTTTTGTTGCCCAGGCCCAGAATGGACTTCCGAAAGCAGTATCCACACAGAGAACGGGTTGTTCACATAATTGAATTCCACCACTGAGGAGAAAAGGAAAACAAAAAAAAGTTAAAAACTGAGATGCAGTTTGGGGCTCCAAGGAAAAATATCACACGCACACAAATTAACACACACGCCCAGTACATCCTTAAGGAAGAGGCAACTGAGAAACAACTCAAAATGGTGTTGACTGTGCTGTTCTAAGCCTGCCTTCTTTCTTGGTCATATGACCTAGAGTGCATGGCGCCCACCATGTGTTTCCCACATAAAACCACAGTTGCAACATTTATGGTACAGAAATGAGAGTCAACTATTAGTAGAGGCGTGTTCCATATGTCAAACAGAAGACAATCATCTTAAGAAACAAAAAGTATTGCACTAGACCTGATTGCTTTTTTTTTTTAAGAACAAAGGCAAGACTAAAAACAATAACGAATAAGCATGTTCTCCATTGAGAAATAATGCCAATCTTATATTTTCATAGAGTGGAAGAGATCTAGAAATAAAAATTCAAAAACTTTTAGTTTTCATGTTCTGCAACATTTATTTGCCTTATAGTTATATTGGATGCTCCAATGGTCTGTTCTTTTTACTTTCTGGCTAAAGTTCCTGCTTCCTATAGGTTTGGCTCCATTAGTATTTAGAGATGGTTTTGAATCATCATGGCTTAAAAAAGCATTTGATAAAATTCTGGTGGTGGGGGGGGGGAATGACAGAGGATATAGTTCTCCAAACAAGTGTAAGTAAGGTGTCATCCCACAAAGTTATCATTTCCTTCTAAAAGGGTTTGCTCCGACTCCTATTTATCACCTATTCCGATTCTGAAATTGGTTTTCACTTTAGCCAGATATTATATACTGTGCCCTAGGCAGTCCTTGAACATTTAAATGTATTCCTGAGCATCTTTGGTTATGTCGACGTGGTGAAGGTTTAGTAGAAACTCTAAGCCTGGGCTCCTCAACCTTGGAGATGTTAAGACTTGTGGACTTCAACTTCCAGAATTCCCCAGCCAGCTATTAAAGATTCAAGACACTCTTTTATATCCTGTCTTGAAGAAATGTCCAGGTAGGGGGTGAGATTTCTATTTAATGTTACTTCTTTCACACAAGGATTCAAAAATAACCTAGTTGCAGTTTTCTGCTACAATTGTACAAGACGGCACACCATTATTAGGTTTGGAACTTCTTATAATAGCATCCTACTTGGATTGATTTTACTAACTTTGTTCTTAATTATTTTTAGTTCCATTATACTTTCTAATGTTTACGTTGTATAGATACATATACATAGATATGGAAGAATGTAATACTTCTTTTATTCAATATTTTGTTTGTATCTGGCCTTAAGGCTGTAATAAATTTGATTTTATATTTACCTTATCAACTTTTCTGTTGAATGTAACAATAGAACTGTGAAAATCCTTCAAAGGCTTGTTTTCCCATGCAGATGAATACACCTCTTTTAGCAGCTTCATCTTTTCCAGAATATTAAAAAAAAAAAAAAAAAACAGCATTGCAAAAACTTTCTTCTGAAGGATGTGCAGTCTTTTGTCTTAGCTTTGTTAGGCATTCCGTATGCATCCTGCGTAACTTTATATAATTTGAATTTTTTTAGACTTCTGGAACAGATTCTAAATCATCTTATATCCAGCAGAAATATGATATAAGCAGATCTTATTTTCCACAGCTTCTCAACACTAGTGATTCATTGGGTCTGTGACCTCACCACATACTGTCATATCTTCCCTGGCCAGATAGAAAGTGGGAGAGAGAGACTGTGCACTGGATAGAATCTAATTAGATGAAAAAATGATACAATTATATTACATATTGTATCGTGTGTTATATCGTTTCTCCAGAAACATGAATTCCTATGCAATCCATTGTTTTCCAAAGCTGGTATTGAATATGAAAGAACTAAATGCAAACAAAGCATTATGTAACTGCCTTATCCTCCTAATTACTGAAATTGTATTGTGGTTTTAATTATGAGTAATGTATAAATTAATATATTGGTATTATTCTTGAAGTATTCCATGTCCTGAGTATTATGATAAGCATGCTAATTGTACCACAAATGGCTATTTGTCTACGAGAAATAGGTCCTATATCAGATCAGTTCTAGAATATCCATTCAAATAGGAATGTGCAGATAAAAATTTCATTCCCATTTGAATATAGTCTTATTAGATCAGAAAGAGGAAAGACAGTTACATTCATAACAGTCAAACATAAAGAAAAGTATTTGTTCTTTTTGGGTAAACATGACAATTTTCACCAAGCTGCACTGCACTCATTTCTTTTTGCAATCACACAAACACAAACACTATTAGCTACTGAATCTATATAGGAAGATATAGGAAGATAATTAGAGGTGTAAATTTGCAAGCAAATGGCACAAGCTAAAACAATTATAGCCAATGGAAAGGTTGTAATCAAATGAAGTGAGATTAGAACTATAGCTTTAGGCCTTGATCTAGCTATCCATGGGCAGAGCAATAAACCAATGAAAATATTTTCACTTGTACAAATGCTACCTGTGATAGGTCCAGCTGTTAACAACAGTATAAATAGTCTTTTGGGGATTCATAGAGAAAATGGAAGGCTATCTTTGAATCTGCACATATACTCCATTCCTGCTCCCAAGCAAATAACTAGCATGATGGTTGGCATCCTCTCTAGTCTCTCCATATCCAACTGTTATCTAGATTCTTGTGACATATACAAGAACCGCTTTGCAGGTGGTTTATGTGGAATCAACACAGATCATGAATATAAGCTTATTGCTGTATGTGCTTCAGGTTTCCTTGTATCTAGGCATAGGCTGTTGAAAGCAATGATGTAAGTAATATTTTAAATGAACCAATTTAGCCATCTAGAAAATGCTCATATGGATGCATAAAGAACACAACAGCTATTCTCAGTTTAATACTAAATTATCAGTTTCCCCTATACCTAATGAGGAATTATGACATCTAGAGAAAGCTATCAAATGCTGCAGTTGCTATATAGACAGACAATGACAAATAACCCTTATTCACAGTTATATTTCCAAAAATATATTTACAGTCTATTACAAAGATTACAAATGGAAGTGTCTATGTAATGGGATTATGTTAATTCAAATATTTTTGTTTATCTTTTTTACAGATTTCTTTAAGAAAGGGTGAAAGAAGAAAAATTAGCATAATCAAAATTATTTTTTTCTAACAAAATAAATAAATAAAACAACAAATAAAACATTGTACAGTGCTGTAAAAGGAAAAGAAAATGGTAGGAGGGGAAAATTATCTATTTGAATTCTTTGTAACTATCTTTGGTCCTAAACGTGGGAAAACACATTATATAGCACTGAAAAAACCATGTTCCTTTCTGTGATGCTCTGTTAAGTAAAATAGAAAAATATAGTGCATTTTCAATGTATTCAGAGCTCACTGCACATAAATGTGTGTACAAAACAAGACAGTATAAATAAAATGTACAAGTTTTACAAAGGAACATTTACAGGGTTATTATTTTTTTTTCATTTTTTTTTTCTTTTTGTGGATGCCCACATTATCAAACAAGTCTTAATTTATATGACTGATCCCTGGGATCTTTCTCTATGAAAACCAACAGAAGCATCCCAGTTCTCTTTGGAAGTACAGCTATTCACTGCTGGGTAGCTCACGATTTTCATATTTTTGACAGCATTAGTCACCTGTTTCATATATAGTCCTGCGACACACTTTGTTATTGCTTATGTAATTATATATTTCACTCAACTCAAGTACACATATATTAAATTAAAACTGGTATTTTTTTCTTTAAAAAAGGGGTTCTCTCAGTCAACAATCAACTTTCAGTCCAGTTCTGAATGCATGCGCCTAGAGCAGCTCATTGAAACACACACACACACACACATACACACAATGAAATGTTGAAGTGCCACTTGCCTTATATTCCTACACCTGTAATAGAAAATCCAAAGGCACCATCTGACAGGAACATGTCCCGTGCAAGCCCTGTTATCTGTTGTCCATCTGTCACTCATTTCATAGAGCTTGCACAAGAGAACTGCAATCCAGAGAATGTTAGATAGACTTGGGGCCCATGAGATCCTAGCAGCTTCAGAGCACGATTACGTTTTGAAATCCCATTCATTTCAATGTGCATAGCTTCCTCATTCTGAACAGGGCTTATCCCAATGTGTGGACCAGAGAAAGATATGTATACTTGGCTTGTAATTATTAGTGGCAACACTGGTGAGAATTATGTGAATTGCTGCGGACTGGGGTCCTGTCATTGCTTGCCACTACAGATGAGGTTGTCTATGGCAAGGAAGACAATCTGCCTACCCACATTTCAAACAGCATGATTGGTAGAAGTATGGACAGAAAATAAGCTCCAGCTGATAAAAGCAGAGTGTATCCACCCACCTGAATGCAATTTCTTCTAGATTAATATGCAGTCTCTGGATTGCATTCTCATATTCTTATTTCTGCAAGAGGGACTACATTCATCTTAATCTCATATTAGCCATATGCTTATTATTTCTCCTAGACCTTCTAATGTACATTGTTGAAAAAAATAAAAAAGACACCCAATCCCCTGCAAGAACAAACACCCAATGTGCTCTGATTAAAAGGTTAAGCAACACTATAGGACTTGTACTTGTTCTGTTTATGCACCTACCATCAATCATTCCATGAAAGGGCTTCAACCCATTTAAAGTTGCAGTTGTACAGCTTCCTTTAACCCAGGTACCCTACTAAAACCATCTTTCAAACCATTTCTTAAAAAGTGCCTAGGCATTTTTAGGGAACATTATTGCTAGGTTCACCATTTTATTCATTTCCTGTTTAAAGAAGAGTGTGTGATTTACTTATACAAAATTATTTTAAAAAATATCAGAACTCTTGGCAATGATTTTTTTTTCCTGATTTCCTGCCAATTAGCAAACCACATCGATGTGGTGTGGAATAAACAGATAAAAATAGATGCCAAAATTAAAAAAAAGAAAAAAAGATCCTGGACAACCCTGCTTCACCCACCCAGTAGCTAGCCTGATACACATTTCCCTGTTACACTTCTTCTGGCTGTAGAAACTTGTACGATCTTTCAAAACTCCCCAGTGTAATAATGTGTCATATGCTTAGCACTAAGAAGGTCCAAAGATATAAATGCAACACTAAAAGGAGCTCAATATGAAAAAAGGAACACAACTGATTTCTTAAAACAAGTTTGAAATGAAAGTTTTAAGGAAAATATTTGTTGACTTTAACAATATCATGATTTTTATCTGACAAATATATTCTTTCTTTTAAAATCCTTTATGTACACTTTAAAAAGTCCATTAGATAAAAAGGAGGTTAGAGAGTTCAAGGTGTTCGTAGGTGTTTCAGGTAGTACTTTGTTTATTGTCACTTCTTTTGTTGCCGCCATTAGTAGGTCTGTTTTCCCTTTTTAAGTAACTTTCTGGTGGCACTTAGGAGTTCAAGTCTGTAGGTGCTTCTGGTGGGGCCTTCTGTTACCTGCATGAAAGCTCTGTCAAATCGTATGTCTTCTAGCAGCGCTTCATGGAGACTGAAAGCTGGCACTGTTCTCTCAAGTCCGTCTCCTCCCTTGGAAGGGAGAAATGTCTCATCACACTTGGATGCCAGTGCCATGCAAGTGTAACATTTGTGCTCTCATAGTCTGAATGCTGCTCATGATTTTCTTTTGATGGCCAACCAATGTGATTCCTAAGCTCATGATGTCACTAGGGGAGGGAGGAAAATTCAATATTAGTAATCTTTCAGTAGAAGGGAACAGAAAAGAAACAGCAATAGTGATACAACCAAATGATAATCAATGTGCTATCGCCATGCCTGGCTTTTCAGGTGATTACTTCACCATATTGTTATATGACAGGGGTCTTCAAACTTGGCCCTTTTATGACTTGTGGACTTCAACTCCCAGAATTCCTCAGCCAGCATGCCTGGCTGAGGAATTCTGGGAGTTGACCTCCACAAGTCATAAAAGGGAAAGTTTGAAGACCCCCTGTTATATGATGAAGTAATCACTTGAAAAAACAGGCATATATGCTCAGCACTTTCTGTTGACGTAGAGCAAGGGTGTCAAACTGCCGGCCCACGGGCCGGATGTGTCACATGGAAGCCACGCCCACCACATTGCCAGCAATGGCAAAACAGTCCTGATACGTTGTGCGATGCCACGTGATGTCGCGAGTTTGACATGTCTGACATAGACTTTGGTGAGTAAAAATAAATCTTAAAAACTGCTATTATCTTCCACTAAGTGGCAAGGGTATATGTTCCAAGGAGATAAAATGACCCCTGCCATGAAGGTTAGATCCCTTTTAGGATACTAACTATAGCTGTTGCTTTTCTTTTTTTTTAAAGGAAGAGAAAGAGAAAGAGGGAGCACAGTCTTAACATTTTACAACTTTTATTAAGACTTAAAACCTCCCTGACATTCTGTCATACAGAGTAGCAAACTGAGATATTTATTGTCCTCAAGTCACAGTTGCTCTGAAGTACAGCTTCTTTACTCCTTGTGTGGTTGTCACACAAGGAGTAAAGTAGTTGAAAATGTCTCAATATGAAGCACTTGTATGCATAAAAAAAACCAGAAAGGGTAATAAAAATATGGTTTATGCTTAGAAGGGGCTACCTTGGGTCAATACAGTCCATAATCATATTGAAGTCCTTAACTAATAAGAAGCAAACTCCCCAAATGACAATAGTTTTTATTACTCTGCAAAGTCAAGCCCTGTTTTATAATAATTAAACAGATATTAGCAAGGGACCAGAATTTTCTGTGGTACTTTTTTTTTTCCTCTTAAAAGAAGGCTGGATAAGGTATTAATCGGGTGACTAAATCTTAGGGATTCTCAATACATAAATTTTATATAATCCGGCCAAGCATTTCTTGTCTGCCAATTAAACGAAAACAAAGACAAACAGAAATATGTAATATAAGCATTCAGTTCACTTACTCAATAGTCATTCTGGCTACTGTCTCAAGGTTATTGTAACCTGCAGCAGAAAAATTATCCTTGTATCTTTCCATCTTGATTGCTTGCAACCATTCCCCTACAGAGCAAAATGTTGTGAAATCAGGGGTGTTCTGGTCCAGAAGAGGGCTGATTGGTCTAGGTTGAATGAAAAATATTGTTTCAGGTAGAAAAAAAAAGAAACATAATTCAGTATTTATGTTACCTAGTAGAAATATAATAAATACATCAATCTAAAATGTATATAAGCAAAAGCAAAAATGCAATAAATGCTTAATTGTTAAGTATCTATAAGCCTATATTGCTGTGTAACATTCTAGTAGACTATCAATACTTTAGAAATGGTCTGGTACTCCAGTGCTTACCTGCTGTTTTCTCCTTTTCTCTCCTGTCTCCTTGTTTTTGTGTAAACTGCTCAGCTATCTTTATCCTGCTCCCTTTTCATCCCTGCAAAATTGTTACTAAATTGTAGCTACATCTGGTCATCAACAATAATAAAGGATTTTATTTGAATCTACCGCTGAGTTACAATCATAGAAGTCATCTAAAAGTTTTAGATGTTTCAATATTTAGAACAAAATAAAACCTCCTTTGTTTTAAATAATGAAAAAATAGGATACTTGTAAAATAAAGTAAATATAATTGCTTCTTATTTGATCGCTCAACACCTGAAATGGTAAAAGAGGAAGTAAAGAAGAAGAAGAAGAAGAAGAAGAAGAAGAAGAAGAAGAAGAAGAAGAAGAAGAAGAAGAAGAAGAAGAAGAAGAAGAAGAAGAAGAAGAAGAAGAAGAAAGACATTTTTTAAATTTGAAATTGTGTTCTCCTTGAAGATTGGGCTTAACTTTACATATCTTGATATAAGATGGAACTTTTATTCAAAATAGGTGACTATATCTAATCTAATACAGTCATAGGGATAATGCATGTTTCTGATTTCTATTTAGGTAGGAAGTACAAATATAACTGCTTCACTAGTGGTAGATTCCTTTTCTTGCTGAGACTTTTAAAAGGAATACAAGAGAGGTATTAAGGAATTATCAATGATCATCAATGAAAAGTAGATATCCAGTGTGTATGTGTGTTTTTGTTATTATTGAAGAAAAGAGTTCATACTGCAGGGAATTAATTTTCTCTTTTTGTGTGTGTGATGTTCTACTTGGTACGTGGCTTCTAAGAAACCATCATAACCTGCTCTATCTCATCCTGGACGGCTGTGAAAACCTCTAGATAGAGATTTGTACCTGATGGATATGTTTTTGATTTATGATCCTTGGACAAGATATTGTGGATATCAGCAGCTCTAAACTATCAGTCTACAACAGGCCTGCTCTTCTTTACAGGTGAGGGATTCTCTTCAGATCATTATCTGCCTAATTTACAACTGCTCTGTCCTAGCATCTGTTAGCTGATTTACAACTGAGCTAATAAAGTCATTGGAAATATGCTAATTGTTTCCTGCTTGTCTGGCATTCAGTCTAGTGCAGGACTGATCAGCACAAGCCCCACTGGCTCAATAGCACCAGTAATAGGCACCAATGTAGCTTTGCTGAGAGAAAAGTTTTTTGTTTTGTTTTTTTAATAAGACATGATGTTGGGCTAGTGATATGAAATGTCTAATAGATCTTGGGAATGTGGAGACTGGTGCACAGCTGTTACAGGAGAAAACAAGGCAGTTACAGGAAAGATTCCTGAGTCAGGGGTAGTTAGGGAGAACTGTAAAAAAGAGACTCAGAGTAACACTGCTTTAATTATGCTAAGTTTACACTGAATTGGAGAATAGCCTTGGCAGGCTTTCAATATTCTATTATACTACCTTACCAGCAGTAAAGGCATTTCCAGAAATCCAAATGGTTCCGGTTTTCCACTGTCACAGTCTTGATAGCCAATTTGATTTATTTATCTGTCTATTTCAAGCTACACACTTCCTGACTCCAATTGACTCTGGGCTGACCACCTAATTCTAATTGCCTTTTTAGAGGACAGAAGATTTGCAAAAGGTTTTTGTCATGTGGTCAATCCCACACATTATTAAGCAGCAGAATTAGAGAAAAGCATGAAGTGGAAAAACAATACATGTAATGGTCTACCTCACTATGTCTTAATCTTAGGTTGTTCCAAGATGTATGAAACCAACGATTCAGAAACGTTTTGCCTTGCTTGGAGTTGGAAGGCTTTGAACCCTTAACGTTAAGTTGAAGAGTGATGCAGAAGACACCTAAGGAAGTGGCAATGTAGTTCAGGGGTCTCCAACCCCCAGGCTGCAACCCACTACCAGGCTGAGGCCTGTTTGAAACCAGGCCAAGGGAGAGATGGCAAGAGTGTATGTGAAGCTCCACTCACTCGAGCGGAGGGTGCTTGCGCTCATGTGTGAAGCTCCATTCATGAGTGGAGGGTGCTTGCGAGTGGAGCTTCGGGCGTGAGCGCAAGCAACTTCCGCTTTCACATGAAGCTCTATTTGCCCCTCTCTCTCCCCCCCCCCCGAGCTGGCCCAGGCCGCCAAGCTGGAAAGATTTGGGACTTGGTGGTGTACTTGACTGCTCTCTTGAAGAAGTAAGAAAGCCACAAGATAATTTGTGAGGCATCTATCTATCTATCTATCTATCTATCTATCTATCTATCTATCTATCTATCTATCTATCTATCTATCTATCTATCTATCTATCTATCTATCATGTATTCATCCATCCAATTTACTCTGGATGGATAGATGGATAACTTTACAAATAAAGTTAGAGACATTCTAGTAGAGACATACTAGAAGTTAGGCTTGAAAAAAGATGAGGGGCTAGAATAGCTTCGGAGTCCACACCCTAAAGCTTGTGTGCAGAGTGCGGCTCACAAATAGGAAGGATGGGTTTACAGGATTTACAGTGTGACACCAGTTCATATCCACTTGAGGGGGGATGTTCCTGAAAAACTGGAGCATATTAAATGGAGCCTCTTTAGAGTTGTTTGGCTAAAGGATGGATGTCTTCAATGGGAAAACATACTGTTGTCACTAACCACTTAAATGAGTTTTGAAGAAACGCCAAAAGAAGATAAAAGAAAATGGGGGTGGAGAGATAAATAATTATAAAAAAGAAGGATAATCAAGCCAAGGATGCTCACTGGCCTTCCGGCAAATGGTCTTGAGAGAGAGTCATACAGCCATAAAAGCTAATAGCTAAAGATACCCATGACTTCCAAGCTGTCCAGAGTTACCTTGAGGTAAGATGGACAGTCTATAAATATTATAAATCAAATTAAACTGGTCTAATCCTTTTCTGAAGCCAGCCAAATTTGGTAGCACCAAATTTCGTAGTAACAGATTTCAAAGTTTAATTATGTGTTGCGTAAAAAAAAATGTCCATCCTGATGTTCTTTCAAGATTTAATTTCACCTTTTATTCTAGAAATAGCTTCTCATTTTCCACTGCTCCTTGCCAACATTGTGAATAATGATGCATAATGCATCTCAAACATTAGCACCCTCTCATTTGTTTCCTTTCCAGATGAAAAAGACCCAAACATTGCAATCTTTCCTCATAAGGAAGATGTTCCTGCTCCCTTCATCATCTTAGTTGCTGTCTTCTGAGATTTCTCTAGTTGTACTAGATCATTTCTGAACGAGAAATGAACACAATATTGCAGCTGCAGTTGCACCACCGATTTATGTAACAGCATTATGCGATTGACGTCTGTATTTTTTTTTCCTTATTCCCCCTAACATATTGTTGACCATTTTTACAGTGGGAGCATATGGTGACTTCGCTGAACTATGTTCAACTGCTACATTCTAAAGTCATAAATAGATGAATAGTAAAAAAAAGAAGCATCAGTTAAAAATACCATTGGGAAAGCAAAAAAATGTCACTAAATTGTCTTTTTGCTAAGGATGGCAGTGAAAGTCAATTAAAAAAAAAAAAAGTAAAGGTTTTCCTGTCAGTCATGTCCACTCTAAGGCCTGATACTCATCTCCATTTCTTGGCTGAGGGAGCAAGTGCTGTCCAAAGATAATTTCCATGGCCATGTGGCCAGCTTGACTATATGCCAAAGGTGCATGAAAGACTGTTACCTTCCCAGTGAAGTGGTACTATTAATCTACTTGCATTTGCATGCTTTCGAACTGCTAGGTGGGCAGGAGCTGGGGCAAATAACAGCAGCTAAAGTACACCATTTCAGCAAATAATTGGGGTGCCAATCATAGAACTGGTTCTCTATAGCAAAACAATGTTTTTTGGACAGATCCGTGTTTTCCCGAAAATAAGACCTACCCTGAAAATAATTCCCCTAGCTTGATTTTGGGGAATGGGCCTAATATAAGCCCTATCCCAAAAATAACTCCTAATCCTAACAATCAAGCTAGGGTGGGGTTGGAGGTGCCCCATGTGCCCCACACCCTCTAATTGTTGAAGCCAGGCCTCCCATGCTGACATCTGCCTCACCAGCCCACTTTTTCTGCGGTTGCTTGCCGCCACTGGCGCGAATCGAATCCAGCCTCCTTTTTGCCATCAGAAGCCTTAGGAAATGTTTCTGCAGCTGAGAATGGAGCTCTGGATTGATGTCTGTGGCACCACCCCCCCCAGCCTCCATTTCATCATCAGAGGCTTTCAGGAAAGGCCTTTGTAGCCGAGAACAGAGCTCTAGAGGGGGCACTGCACGCATCAATCTGGAGCTCTATTTTCAGCTACAGAGGTATTTCCTGAAGGTCTCTGACGATGAATGGATGTTGGAGATGATGCATGTGAGCAGCAGTGAGCGGCTACAGAAGTGGGCCGGCTGGTCAGGGCTGTCGATGCACCACTGTGAGGTGAGATGGAAAAAGACATGCCCCGAAAATAAGACCTGGGTGCCTCTTTTGGAGGCAATAAATAAATAAATAAACAAACAAACCAGGTCTTATTTTCAGGGAAACATGGTAATTTCATATAAAACAATTTATGAAGCATTCTGAGATCTTATACAACCTCAACCTTTTCTTCCACTCTCCAAAACCAGAAAATTATTTCCAATAGTGCTTTCTATCACTTTTTTGGAAAAAAAAAAACAAAATAAGCATCAAATAGGTATATCAAACCTAACATGCTTAAAATAATTATTTTTAATAAAATTCCACAAACTTCTGTTACAATAATCAAATTACCATTATTCCTTCAAATTATAGTGCTTCTGTACACATATTCTTCTGCCCTTCAAACAGCAGTATATTCTGATCTTCTAATCCTACCCAGAAGGCAAATGGCCACATTTTACACTAAGTATTTGTTTCAACAGCATATAAAGATATCTTGAGGTAATCCAGTACGAAGTTAATTAAGCAAATCAACAACTAATTGGAGTGAGATAGGCAAATTCTAAAAAAAAATATTATTTCTAAATGATTATCTTTTTTTTTCAAAATGGAATCTGGTCAGATATAACTGTCATTTTCTTTTGGCTTATGATAAGGAACATCAATTTACATCAATATAAACTAGATTTTAATACCTAGTTTACCCTTGTAAAAGCATCTGGAATATGGAATGCTTGAATTTATCCCAAATAATAATGGCGGGATAAAAAAAATTGAAATAAAATAAATAAATCATGGGTCAACAACAGCTGAAACAAAGAAAAGCTGTCTAGTATTTTATCCTATAATTTAGGAATCTAATTCATAACTTACCTACTACAGGTTCCTAAAGGAGTCTTCAAGCTATTTGGATTCCGAATCATTTTATCCAAAATGCCCACAATCTGTTCAAACTTTGGCCTTTCTGCACGTTCTTTCTGCCAGCAGTCTAGCATCAGCTGGTGAAGGCCTGCTGGGCAATCCATGGGTGCTGGCAAACGATACCCTTCTTCAATTGCTTTTATAACCTAATAACAAAACCCGCCATGAATTTAAATTTTTACAGCTCATGAAGAATCCACCAAACTAAGCAAAGTTTTATGAAACATATCTTTCAAATAGAACCTACTGTTCTAGCACAAGAATTTCTGTAGTGGTAGAACACTGTAAACTTTGTTTTTATTGTCCATGCCTATTAAACAGATTATAGTACGTTGTAATGTATGCTGATAACATAGCTGCATTACCTAGTCAAATCAGCAGGAGGGACTAGCAATTAAATTCACCATGGGTGCAATTGAGAAATGGATACATGAGATGCTCTTTGAAAACAATATTTATTTGTCCAGGAGGCTCTGGCAGAGAAACAAAGCGTGATTAAATAGTCTGTGTATACATCTAGGTATCTATATCTAGATGAAAATGAAATGGACAAATGAAAAATAGCGGATAATAGAAAAGAAAAAAGGGAAAAAAAAGTGCTTTCCCATGTTGACCCTCTCAGCAACAATCCAAACTAGATGTGAATCTAATCTAGGCTTGACTATAGGATGTTTGAGTGAACTGTTTAATATTAAGACATAGTGTAGACCAACATAATATCTCTAAGATCAATTAATTCACTATTGTTTTTTGCAGCATTGATTTGTTGATGTCGAAGTAAGAAAAAAAAAATAACCAAAACAAAACCAGAGAAAAGGATCATAAGAAACTTTTGAAAATTCACATAACTTTGATAAACTGAAGTGTGGTTTTATAAAAAATACCACCACAATGGGCAAAACAGCATTCCACTGATAATACAAAAAAAAAAAAAAAAAAACTTACTCTACAAATTTTTGTATTCTCTGGAATTACAATACAAAGTTGTTGTGATGGGTAACAAATATAAGCCAAGCCTAATTTTTAAAAAAGAGTTTTAGACACTTTTACATGGGTTTTCTGAGCCAATAAAACAATTTTAAATGGAAAACTTTATGTAAATAAATCATAGATAGTAATAAAGAGGGCTTCATGGCATAATGGCTACGTGGCAAAAACAAAAACCAAACAACCCACATTTCTCCTTCACAAATGATTACTTGCTATTTTTCTTATCTTTATTTTGGAAATAATATTATTATATTAGCAGTGAAAAATTTAAAATATAAATATTAAATTAATGAGCGGCTTCTTGTTCTACACGTACAAGTAGGAACACCAGCTTTACAACAATAGCTATATGCTATTTTATTTTGACTACTGATGAGTAATATATATAAAAAATGCATATAGGCAGATCGTTTTAGCACTGTCAACAAATTTCAGGTTTGTTTATTGCTTAGCTAATAAAATAATCCTTTACTGAACCTTGCTTGCACTTTGATAAAAGTTTGCAACTTTCTTATAACTGTGTAATATGCATCTGATAACAGTTAATTTACATAAAAATGTATTTGAGCTTCCTGAATAATCCTTTAGGACTTTCAATAAATAATGAGGGAGGATGTTTTATAGAAATTACCATATAACAATTTATGAGCCATTGTTTTCATGTTTCCTGTGTTGCAAGTGAAATAATGCTCATCGCTATCATTCCTTTTAACATTTTCCTCCTGAATGCAATGCCTCCAAGTAGGCCAATAAAATGCTCTGTGGAATTTTGGTATTGTAATCATTCTAAGGTATCTTGCTGGCTTAAACATATACATTTGATTTCCCGAGGTGAAAGAACTGTATTTATGTAACCCATAACTATATGCCAGACCATATCACAAACACACTATTTAATCACTGACTTGGGCTTTCAATATCCCATTAAAACAAGGAAATCTTAGGAGAGGTTGTAATAACACAGCTCCCCCTCCAACTAGCATTTTCAGATAGATGGAAATTTAGCCGAAAGTACATGGAGCGCTAAACCATTAGAAATAAACTTTAACTCTAGCCATACATTGAGAATAACTATCCATTGTTACTACTTCACTCTCACAATCCTGGCTTTGAACTGAAGTCATTTATTTGTAACATTAGGGGGATCTGAAATAAATCTTTAGGAATGTCAACTATGGAATTTTTAGTTTCACTTTATATATGGGCCATATAACAGCTGTGTTCAGGACTTTGCAAGACATATTTTTATTGCAGCAGAAGTAACACGAGCACACTTGGATTTGGTATATATTACAATAACTAGCATTTGGCAGACAGAATTTAAATGTAGTCCTTTTTCTCCAGCATGATTGGATGGAGAACCCATGGATGGGTTGTCTTAATCTATCTGCTCCAATTAGACTAAGTCTGAAATTTAGTACCGCCCCCTCTGTGCCAACTGCACCCCAGTTTTAGACTTAGTCTCTTTGCTCTAAGACGCGTTTTTTCTTCGCTCCTGGAGCAGAAGACTGTGTATTCCTATTTTATTTCATCCCAACCTGTAGCCTAGCAGGCTGACAGGCTGACAAAACCTCCCTTTGGGGAGGGAGAAACTTTCCCTTTCTCCCTTTGAGAGCCTTTCAGCTTCACAATCAGCTTGGAAATTGGATTCCCAGAAGCAAGAGAAATCTCCTACCAGGGGCCGTTCCTCTGCATCAGAGGCTCCATTCTTCTAACCAGAGCCTGGAGGCCTTAGAGGCAGGGGTAAGCTTGCCAATTGACTGGGGGGCTCCGCAAGGGACGACGAGGCTCATCAGGCCTGGAGGGAGCCTTTTCTAGGTCCCTCGGCCTCAGCAGACCACCCCAGCAGCAGGAGAAAGTTTTTGGCACCGATCCAATTTTCAGAGCCTGGAGGCCTTACTAGGCCTCGGCCTGCCTCAGCCTCTCTCAGCTCACCTAATTGTAATCCATTCGCTGCGTTAGGAGCCCAAGCGATTCCTCGGAACGAGGGCTCATTGCAGCTTAGGCCACAGGCCTCAAGGCCTTCTTCTTCTAATGGCCTTTTTTTTGGAATCCATTCGCTGCGTTAGGAGCCCAAGCGATTCCTCGGAATGAGGGCTCATCGCAGCTTAGGCCACAGGCCTCAAGGCCTTCTTCTTCTAATGGCCTTTTTTTTTGGGAATCCATTCGCTGCGTTAGGAGCCCAAGCGATTCCTCGGAACGAGGGCTCATCGCAGCTTAGGCCTCAGGCCTCAAGGCCTTCTTCTAACTGCCATTTTTTGGGCGCGAACTCTGCGGCCGCCATTTTGAATTGACTCACGGCGGCCATTTTGTGTGTGACTGAGGCCCAGACTGCCTGGAGTTTCTCCTGAAGGCAGTGTTCATCACCGGTGACAGAGGCTTCGAGACTATAGCGTTGAACCGGGGAGGGCCTGTTCGCTCCCAAGGGACGTGGTGCCCATTAATTCCCCGCCCACCCCCCTCAAGGGCTGAATCATCTCTGCAGGCTCCCTTGGTGAGTTACAGCGCCGAGGGGGGCGTTTTGCCAAGGTTGAGCCCAGAGCAACTCATCATGGCAGAGAAAATCAGCGAGCCGGCCAAGAGGAAACGCCAAACAGAGGCAAGTGGAAAGAACACCACCAAGCGAGCCCAGCCAAGCAGGGAGCCACAGAGGGAGGAGGAGTCCCAAAGACTGAGAGCGGCCTCCCCAGATCTGACAGGCATGATGGGAAGGTCCATTTTTGAACCCCTTTCCTCACATTGTGCCTCAGCCCCAGGGGCCTGGTCTTCCCCCAGGGGAATTCCCCAATTAGATTTAACCACAAGAGTGGACCCAGGGAGGGGCACAACCAACCAGGACACGCCAGGACCCCAGGCCACGTTCATCCCCACTGCAGCAGGGCTTCGCCCTCCTGAGAACCAGGCCTTGAACCCGGACCTCCTTCAGTCCACGATAGCCCAGGCTGTGGCTCAGTTTATGGCCTCCAACACCCACAGCCACCCTCCCAGGCCACATATCATCCACAATCTCCAGATTTGACGGAGGATCCCTCATCGGATTTGGAATCTACAGGGGCTGAACAATCTGGCCTGATTTTGTTTGAGGACGAGGGCATCACTCCTTCTGACCCCACCCCTCCTGTCGGTCTCTTTGACCATAAATTCTTTAATTCCCTGCTACTCAGGGCCTGCACTACTGCAAACCTCCCCCAAGAACAGGAGACCCCACCTACAACGTCCAAGGGTCCCCACGCAATATACACCGAGCCCTCAGTCTCGCAGAACAATATTCCCTGCCCTCCACTTTTTCTGAATATAGTTCAAGAATAATGGGAGAACTTAGGATCCTTCTTAAGCCCCGATGCAGTAGAGGGAACATTATTCAATGTTGCCCGTTCTCTGGCCTCCCTATTGGAGATTCTTGAGATTGATGAGCCTTGAACTCAATGTTTCCCAATGCTAACATCCCTGGGGACATAAATGAGGCACTTAGGGCGGAGGATAAAAAGATTGACTCCGCATTGCGTAGTTCCCATCTGGCATCAGCCTGGGCAACAAAGGCAGCAACGTCCATGGCTTTCTTCGCCAGGGCTTCAGCCCTTGGGTTACATGAGCTCCAGGACAGGATCCCTCCGGACCAGCTCAGAGCTCACCAAAATCTGGGTAAGTTAGTGGCTACATCCCAGTACCTAGCCGACGCTTCTCTGCACATGGCTAGATACACTGCCAGACCATTGCTGCAGACATCTCAGCACGAAGGCTCCTTTGACCCAGGAATTGGCGAGCAGACACCAAGACCAAGTGGCGTCTGGCCTCTAAACCTTACACAGGTGGACATCTCTTTGGTAAGGCACTAGAACCATACTTAACTGAAGGTAAGGACAAACGTAAAACTCTGGTTAACTCATGTCACAGAGCAGTTACAGGAGGCTGCCTTTCGACCAGCTCCATCCTGGGACTGGGCCCAGGCATCCCTCTATTCCTTTCAGAGACAAGAACGACAGCAGGATCGTTCAGCATGCAGAAGCAGACCACAGATCCAGGCCAAGCGGCCCCTTCAAGGCCGAGGGGCCATTCCTCTAAACGAGGCAAGTGATCTCACAGTCTCACTTCCCATAGGAAGCCAGCTGGCCCCTTATTCCAGCACTTGGGCAGTCACCACTACAGATGCCGGCTG